ATCAAAACTGATGACCAAACTGTCGCGTGCAAAACTGGGACATATTGTTAGCCCACAAACCGACAGTTCCCCGTTGATTTCGACGATAGGGACCGCGTGCTCCAACAACAAGCCGCAGCAAACGCTGAAGCAAGCCGAAACAGACACTGAGGTAAGCTGGGCAAGCAACGCGAAGGCTACAGCAGGCAGAAGCAATGCAGCGAACTACGGCGAACGAAAACAGGAGTCACAGCAGACTTTCGGAGAATCTGCACACTCGCTCGCCACTCCCACCTCCGCTTCCGGTGTAAAGACAAAGTCAATAAGACCGGGGATGAGAGAATGAGGAAGGTGGCTGGCGCGATAGTCACTCAACACGCGCTCACTTGACTCAACACATCTCGCTAGGAAGGCCCCTGCGTGCGCGGAAGCGTCATAAAGGCCACATTAAGAAGGAGCCATTGCAGCCTGACCTTCAGTCCTCCTTCTCCTCCCACACACGTACACACAAACATACTCACAAAAAATATGTGCGCTCGACCGACACAAAGCTTTATCAAGTGAATTTCAATGGCTCCACAACCATCATCTTTTATGCATGGTAGATATTTGGTTATTAGTATATACAAGTTCCTTTAACCCTTCAGCCTACTTAAGCCACCCATATAGGTTACGACTGTATACTAGGTTAAATTTTCTACATGCACGCACAGGCCACACTGCAGCTTGCCACTTATTGGCTTTAGCAAGTATGATAACTATAATTAGCACGTTTAGCATATACACACTGCTTCTAACAGAAGTATCCTGAAAAATGGCACATGTCACTTTGTTCCGACCTAAATGCACGATAAGTCCTCAGCTCCTATTATATATAACTCTCTTTAACCTTTCGGGCTGCATCTGGAGAAAGTAGCTTACGCCTGATCCCTGTTCGATCATCTCGACTTTGTCTTGTCACCGTTTCAAGCGGGGTGAGGTTTAGAGTGCGGTAGATGGTGGCTCGCCTAATTTCACTTTACCTTGCCGCAGTCAACGTCACTGCTCTCGGGCAAATGATGGACATCACCAAATTACGGTGTTCGAAATTACACAGTTGCCCATGCGAATCCTCGGGGTACTCATTGAGCGGCCAGTGCCCTCTCGCAACAAGCAAACTGTGAACTACTTGCTTGGCGAGTTCCCCAACTAATTTCATGATAGCAGATGGCTGCGTGGCGCCGAAGCTGGTAGTGCCCATGATTCTGATCACGTTCTCGTTCGTACACGCTTGAAAGCCCACCTCTCATCCGTGCCCAGAAGTTCGCCCCATAGACATTTAGATGGCGCTAAAATTAGGCGACTCACTATTGTCGAGACCCCGTCGTTAAAAATCCGGCCCCTTTTTTACCAGCCGCGGCAACAAACAAAACAGTAGTTAATGGTCATCATTGAAGAACCCTGCAGTTGCCTGCTCAAACAGCTCGAGCCAGGTGCAGCACTGATGATACTTCCTGTCAATTCATTAAGCTGGCAGCAAAATCGGCTAACGAGGACTTCAAGAAATACTGGACTGACACAGCGATCTCTACGGAGTAGGTGGCGAACGTTGGTGATAATCGAAAACTCTACAAACTTATCCGCAACAATACCATACGATTTACAGATGGAATAAAATATGTCAATTTGAAAATTAAGTTCTGCCAAACATGTTTTTGGCAAATCTTCATCGAGCCAGTAACTGTGCAAAACAAGTAAAGTTTAAACGTGTAGAAAGATCAATAATTTTGTATGAATTTACAAATAGGCATCCCAAGAAATATAATTTGATAGAAAATATTCTTTAGGAAACAGAAACAAAGTTCATTTTACACCCTTAGGCTAGGGTTGGCTAGTTGAGCAGAAAAAGGTTGCTTATAACATTCCTTGCGGTGACTGCGATGCCATTTATTGCGTACAAAGAGGAAGGTCCGCCTCTAGACGCATATATGAACATCAATTAGCGGTGAAGAGGCACAACCAGGTGTCCGAAGTCGCCATGCATTCATTTGTAAGTGGGCAACAGTTTGCATGGAACTAAACCCGCATAGTAGGTTCCTGCCGAGAATTTTTGGAGGCCATTAATTCTGACGATTCATGCATCAACACGCACGTTGATTTGAATTCCATGTATACCAACTTCAAAAAGCCTGGAAAAAGCGTCAACCACCAAAACATGCTATTGACCATGGATGACGGATCATTATCGACTTTTTGACACGTTTAAAAATGCTTACTGCTCTTCACATATTTACCTCACTCCCGAAGACGACCTGTTGTGCCAGCGTCGAAAATTTCCAATAAAGTTTGTTCCTGTTTCCCAAAGAATCATTTCTATCAGATCAATAATTGTCTTTATTCCCTAAATTGCAGCGCAGTTCACTCATAAGACGCATACGTTGCCTCTGATCGTTCTGACGAAACATAAGTTCAAAGATTTTCGCGTGTTTAATTTATCATAAAAGTGCAGAATTAGCAGGACCTTGCATCTCAGAGAACTATTCACCTCAAGTCAAAACCTATCACTAGCAGTCATATCGCCGTTACAGTAGCTGAATGAATCACAATAGTGTTTTCAAATATATGCCAAAGTGTCCAGGCAACGCCGAAGACCATGCAACGCTAATTATGAAATTTGCCTGGACAATTTGACATTGAAAACACTATTGTGATTCATTCAGTTTATTGAATTCTGCAAAAGCCTTTTATTTCGTTAAATCGTCATTTATGTCAGGTTTATTAAGAGAAATAATAATTAGTTTTGGCGAAATTGGGAGTAGGCTCATATAGAAGGTATTTTCTATG